AGGACCTGTTTGTTTTTAATTAGGCGATGTTGGCAGATGCCTTTAATCCTTGTCTCTAGAGGCAAAGGCATGTAGATACCTGAGTCTGAGGCCAGTCTGTCTCCAGCGTGAATTCTAGGATAACCAGGGTTACACAGAGAAACCCTGTCTCAAAAAAAAAAAAATTAGGGCCTGGGAGTATGGGGACCTGAATCAAATCTTCAGAACCCACTTACAAAGTGGGCATGGTTGGGATGGCAATGGGACTGCAGGGGGAAGGCCACTGGGACTTAGCGGCTTTCAACTCAACTGCAGATTCAGTGAGTGCCTTACCTCTAGAGAATGAGGCAGACAATGGTAGAACAGAACGCCCAGCTTCCTCCACTTGGCTCCACATAATGTATGCACACACGGAAGCTTGCACACAACACAACTATTGCAACATGGATATAATCATATGCATTACCTGGATCGAGAGATTACAGACTCTATATTCTTTGCTAAAGATTAAAAACAAAATCAGGTGGCGTGGACTGAAGCAGGTCTCCAGCAATGAGGGTTGGGAAAGATGGTTCTGTGGGTCAAATGTTTGCTGCCCAAGCATGAAAGCCTAAGGTTAAATTCCCGTCTCCCCTGTAAAACCTAGTGTGGTGTATGTGTCTGTAACCCCGCTGCTGCAAAGCAGGGACAGATCCCGGAGGCTCAGTGGCCAGCCAGTTAATCCCAGAGAAAAAAAATGAGCTCTAGGCTCAATAAGAAGATCTTGTCTCAAAATACAAAGTGGAGGCCTGGAGAGATGGTTCAGAGGTTAAGAATATTGGCTGCACACACCTCTAATCCCAGCACTCGCCAGGCAGAGGCAGGTGGATCTCTGTGAGTTTGAGGCCAGCCTGGTCTACAGACTGTGTTTCAGCCAGGGCTACACAGAGAAACCCTGCCTTTAAAAAACAAAACTGTTTGCCCTTCAAGAGGTATTGAGTTCAATTCCCAGCAACCACTTGGTGGCTCACAACCATCTATAATGAGATCTGATGCCCTCTTCTGGCCTGCAGCTGTGCAAGCAGGTAGAGCACTCATATACATAAAATACATAAATAAAAATAAATAAGTCTCTAAAAAATACAAGGTGGAGAAGAAATTAAAGAAAACATTCTGGGGCTGGAGAGATGGCTCAGTGGTTAAGAGCATTGACTGTTCTTCCAGCGGACCTGAGTTCAATTCCCAGCAACCACTTGGTGGCTCACAAACATCTGTAATGAGATCTGGTGCCCTCTTCTGGCCTGCAGGCATACATGGAGGCAGAATGTTGTATACATCATAAATAAATAAAATCTTAAAAAAAAAAAAGAAGAAGAAGAAAAGAAAACATTCTGGGATGGACACATCTCTCCAGCGGTTAACAGCACTGAGTGCTCTTCCAGAGGACCTGGGTTCAAGAAAACTGACCTAAAATTGAGAGATTTCAGGCACAAGCAGCCAGATCCCATAGGATTCTTTAAGGGATACCTATCAATCAAGAGTTCTAGGGGGGAGGGGCACTGAATAAAAACAAAGTAAAATGGCATACCAGTATGAAAAGGGGAAAAGGTGAGGTGCGAACTCCTGGCCGCTCTGCTCTGAATGGAGGAGAATGTGGACAGGCTTGAAGCAGAAGGGAGAAGTCTGAGGCTCAACTGTGATCTGGCAAACATCGTCGTCTTCACTGCCACAACTATCATCTCCTATTATCAAGACTGATCAGAGTCAGGAAAGTTAGAGCTGGGATGCATCCAAGTCCTCGCACACCTTGACCATTCCGGCTAAGGGTGTTTTCCATCACAGCTGGGTCCATCTGTCAGGGAGCCCTGATAATGAGGTGGTTGCAAGCTCACTTTCCATGACACTAGGTGGACGAGGGCTGTGATCCTGGTCATGCTGCTTCCCAGCTGCGTTGTTATGTGTAATCTTCCTTCAGACTCCCTTTCTCGACCTGCAAATGGGAATTGCCTTTGCGGCAGGAGTCCTCGGAAGTTAAGATGAGATTGTGTAGATAGGGCCTCGCTAAACATAATGGCTGCTCTAAGGTGAGATATATACTTTTGTGTTTCTTTTACCTTACTTAACTTCAAAAATAGGGGAAAAATTAAACAGTATTTAACAAAAATCTGTGGCATGCATAAAGTGCTCCATAAAGTTTATTGTTACTATTATTGCCATCTCAGTGTCCCCTTTCAGAATGTTTCCAGGGCTCCTCCAGCCTTAGGTACATCACTGTGCACATGGGTCTGCTCACACTACTGTGTGTAACAACCGATGGTCTCTACAGCTGCTCCAGGAAATGGCTTTGAGAAACCCAGCCCTAGAGCCCAGGCCCTAGCTCTTCCACAGTGGCTTCCTGCTCCGCTTTCAGTTCCTTTGAGGCATTGCTCATTGGGTGCTTTTACACATTATTTATGACTTTTCATATAAATATTTTGCAGGCAAATGTATGGCAATTTCCAGAGAGCAGCTGTAGAGGACTTCATATCCAGCAGGGAGCTTGATTGGGTGCAGGAGGATGTAAGCCGCACTTCTTGTCCCAAAATTGCGTCCTCCATGGAATAGGATCAATATCAGATGGGTTTCTATAGCTGTTTACTTTAGCTGCGGAAAAGCCAGAGTCCCAGGACACATTTTTATCCAGGAGAAGGAGAAGAACATCTGGGAATTGGTCATAGCAATCCTATTCACCTGTACTACACACACACACATACACACACACATGCACACACATTTAATTTGAACCTCATAACATTTTTAAGTTTCTGTTTATTTCATTTTATGTGTATGGGTGTTTCGCTGAAATGTGTGTGTCACTTACACACCTGGTTCCCATGATATCCAGAAGTTACAGGTGGTTATGAGCTGCCCATATAGGTAACAGGAACTGAACCTGGGTCCCCTGGAAGATCAGCCAGTGCTCTTATTTTTTTTTTTTTTTGATTTTTCGAGACAGGGTTTCTCCGTAGCTTTTGGTTCCTGTCCTGGAACTAGCTCTTGTAGACCAGGCTGGCCTGGAACTCACAGAGATCCACCTGCCTCTGCCTCCCGAGTGCTGGGATTAAAGGCGTGCGCCACCACCGCCCGGCTCAGCCAGTGCTCTTAACCATTGAGCCATTTCTCCATCACCTTAAATTTTTATTTTTAGCCAGGCAGTGGTAGTGGACATCTTTAATCCCAGCACTCGAGAAGCAGAGAAAGGCAGATCTCTGTGAGTTCGAGGCCAGCCTGGTCTACAGAGTGAGTTCCAGAATAAGTCCCAAAGCTACAGAGAAGCCCTGTCTTGAAAAACCAGTATATATATAATCATATGAATGTTTTCCTACAGGTGTGTCTATGCACCATGTGCATGCCTAGTGCCAGGGGAGGCCAGAGGAAGGCATCAGATCCCCTGGGATTGGAGTTATAGATCATCATAAACTGCCAGGTGAGTGCTAGGAATCAAACCAGGGTCCTCTGGAAGAGCAGCCAATGCTCCTAACCACTGAGCCATCTCTCCAGCCATCCCTCAAGATACTTTTATAAGGCTCTTGTTGATAGATGTTGTTTTTCCAAAATTATTGGAGAAGTACAGTTCAGGAGTGTATGGTGGCTCGTGCCTGTAATTCCAGCAGTCCAGAGCTGAGGCACAATTACCACAAGTTCAGGATCAGTTTGAACTTCTGGGTCAGACCCTATCTCAAAGACAAAATAAAAAAGAAGAAAAGAAGTGAAAGGAAGAGGAGAAGGAGGAGATCAGAGAGGCCTGAAGTTTTCTAGAAATTTCTGGAATTATTAAGCTAGCAGGTAGCAGAGCTAGCATTAGGGTTTCAGACTCTTTCACACCATGTCTTTTGGAGACAGAAAACATTGTTAGTCATTCTGACACCTCATACAACCCAGGGCATTAAGTGGTTTATCAGAACTCATATCCCTGCAGGAGACCCTCACAGTTCAGTAATGCTATCCTGTAAAGACAATAAGAAGCCTGGCAGGGGTGGCGCACGCCTTTAACACCAATTCTCAGAAGGTAGAGGCAGGTGGATCTCTGAGTTCAAGGCCTGCCTGGTCTACAGAGTGAGTTCCAGAACGGCCAAGTTTGCACAGAGAAATCCTGTCTTGAAAAACAAAAAAACAAAAGGAGAAGGGGGAGGAGGAGCAGGAGAAAGGAGGGAGGGAGGAAGGAAGGAAGGAAGGGAAGGAGGGAGGGAAGGAAGGAAAGAAAAGAAAGAAGAGGAAGAGGAAGAAGAAGGAAAAGGAAGAAGACAGGGGAAGAAATCTGGGCATGGTGATGCACACCTTTATATTCAGGAAGTGGGTGCAGGAGGATCTCTGTGAGTTCAAGGCCAACCTGGTCTACTAAGCAAGAGAGTTCCAACCCAACTAGAGCTACATACTGAGACTTCGTCAAAAAGAGGGGGGGGTCTTCTGAAAATTTGACTCAAAAGGAAAACAAATATTTGGCTTGCAAAGGAGTGTGGAAATCCAAACCAGTCTTTTGGTCTGAGTCCCTGAAACCACCACCTTCAACGTGACAAGGTAGGGATGGAAATGAGTTGCCATTGGGAGCTTGGAGCCACCTGCCACTTACTGAGAGCATCAGATCCCTTGCCATCAACCATCATGCGTACAGGTGTCTAAAAAGCTCTCACCCCTATACAGGTATTAACCCATTTAATTCTCGAGACAATCCAAAGGTGCACTCTATACACCACCATCGGCCTGGGAAAGAGAAAGATGCTGATGTAGCCAGAACTATAAGGCGAACCTATTCACAGCAAAACAGCGGCTGAACACCAGCTCCTGACACATTTAAGGGACTTTAGTGTTTATAAAGGATCTTCTGTTGGTTCTAGGTATCATCTACGAGGTGAGATGACTCACTCAAGGTCACAGAACTAGTGAGAGGTCTAGCTCAGCCTTGCTGCCGCCTATACCAGGAGCATATTTCCAGATTCTCTCACCAGCAGCTCCCGGGTATCCCCCTTCCTAGGAGGCTGAGGGCGCTGCCCCTCCTAGAGGGGCGGAGCGGATCCCGGCCTGCGGGCATGGGCGCTGTCCGCGGTGCTGATCGGTCGCCGCGTCCCCGCTCGCCTAGTCGCCTGCGGTACCCCAGTTCCCTTCTCAGCTCACAGCCAGGGCCAGTTCTGAGGATTCGGCTGCCCGCAGGGTACGGAGGCCGCGCTCCCGGGGCTCCTGTAGTCCCGGGGCTCCCCCTCCCCCGCCCCAGCCGCCAGCCTCCCCTCCCCCGCCCCGCCCACGGCCCCTCCCCGCGCGCCCCAGGTCCCTCCCTTCCCCCTTATCTCTCCCGCCCCCCGCCCCCTCCAGCTCCTTCGCCAGTTCCGGTCACGTTGCTGGGTGTTTACGCCCGGAGCCTGCCCAGGGCCCCCCGCCTCTACGCCCGGAGCCCCCCGGAGCCCCGGCCCCGCGCCCGACAGCCTCGCAGCAGCTGATGGCGCCGCAACCTGGCCGCGCGCTGCAGATCCCTGAGCGCAGCTAGCGCGGGGGAAGAGCTCTTCCCGAGACCCAGCGAGGCCCGGGCCCGGCCCGCCGGCTCCCTCGGGTCCGCAGGTGAGGAGGCCGGGCGGTGGTCGTCGAGGGTGGGCGCTGGCCGGGTGACCGGGGTGATGAAGGGAGCGCCAGAGCACAGGTTCGACCGGGAGGGCTGCGCGGGGCCGGGCACCGCAGCGCGCGGGAGCGGGCAGGACGCGGGCTGCTGGCAGAAGTTGTCCTCCGCCGCTAGACCTGGGCCCTTTCCGGCGCTGGCGGGGAGTCCAAAGTAGTCCGCACCACCACTTACCACCTCCCACCACTCGTGCCGTTGTACCTGTCTTCGTGTCCTGGCTGGTCCCTCTCTTCCCTATGCTCCGTGGTATGCATACCCCTCACCCCCCACCCGCGCGCCCCAGCCGACTCTGGGAGTCAAATTCATTCGAGGCACAAACTGCAGAACATCAAGTAAAGGTCGGGGTCCAGTTTTTTTCCCGGGCACCCCACTCCCACGTACCTGAATCCTCAGCAATGCTGAGGTTGGGGTTGTGGGCACTTAAGTGGAACGAGGGGGGGGGGGCAGAGTTGAGGGGTGTTTGGGAGGAGGGACTCTGGAGTGAGGAGTATCACAGGTCCCTGGAGAATGTGGCTCCACCACCAGCCTCCACCTTGCAGACAGAGTCCCAGACATTTGTCAAAGGCCAAATCTTGGCTCCAGACTCGTCCTCAGGAGAGCCAAGGACTTAGTGGGGGTGGCAGAGTAATTATTTTTTAATACGTGTACTTACTTGCCCTGGTGATTCCCAGTAAGACTCAATTCATTCTCTCTGCTCTACAACTGGCTGTGTGGTTGCTTTCTTACAAGGGATTCCCAGAGCCCAAACAGCCGGGAAGAAGACTACAGAACACAAGGAGAGATCAGATTTCGGGAGACAGAAACTGGGTGGAGTGTAGAAAGCAAGGGGATGGTCATGGTTACAGGGAGAGTTTATCTGGAGAGTAAGAGGAAATATCCAAGTGAAGGAGCTTAGCCTGCAGATGTAAAGTGTGGTTGCCTTGTGAGAGGCTCTATGTTCCAGAGTGAGCGCCTACACACTACAGCTGTTATGTCAGACAAAGAGCTTCACCTCTCTGAAGTCCAGTTTCTTCATCTCTGGAGTGGGTGCACGAATAGGACCGCGAGTGTAGGCTTAAGATAAGTTAATGTGTGAAATGTTGGCAACAGTGCTGAGACTTGTAAGGTAGTGTCGTTGCCTGTGCCGTCAGGGGTCTGCCTTCCTCTTGCCCTGGGCCTCTGAGTCAGAGGGCGAAGAGGAATAATGACTAAGAAAAATAAAGAGCATAAACATATGGGTTCATTTATTTACTCATTCATTACTCCACCTCTCCCAGCTCATATTTCTGCTTCAGCTATCCGAACAACGACAAAATAAAGCTTAGCCTTCCCCTAGAAATAAGGAGCCATGCATTCTTAAAGAACATTAAGAGTGGTACAGAGTTATCTGTTGACCCCGCAGATGTTTGCAGCCCCAAAGAGAAAAGAAGCGCTAAGAACAAAATTGAAACTGGGACAAGACAATCAGTCAAGACACGAAGCAGGGCACACTGAAAATTCCATGTGATCCAAACAGGAGGCTCCAAGCTGCTAGTCTGGCCTGAAGGAAGGGTGGGGAAGAAAAGAACTGGGGAACATAGAGCATGTTGAAAGGTGGGGGACAGGAGAAATTTAAACACCTTAGGAAAGTTGCGAATTCACCCGAGTATGGTGGCATATGCCTGCAATCCCAGCATTAAGGATGCTGAGGCAGGAAAATTGCCATCAGTTGGAGGGCAGCTTGGGCTACATAGTGTGTGCCAGTCCATCCTGGACTACAGAGTGAGAACATCTTAACAACAGCAATAATAGTAAAAGTAAAGTTATTAATAAAAATATTTCAAACATTTTTAAAATTTTATTTATTATGTACACAGTGTTTTGCCTGCATGTACACCTGCACTGCAGGCCAGAAGAGGGAACTAGATTTCATTACAGATGGTTGTGAGCCACCATGTGGTTGCTGGGAATTGAATTCAGGACCTCTGGAAAAGCAGCCAGTGCTCTTAACCTCTGAACCATCTCTCCAGCCCCAGTTTCAAACTTTTGGTTAGCAGACACCTTTCCTTGTGCAAAAGTTTACCCTAAAAAAGGCCAGTAAAGGGCTCTAGAGAAATGGCTCAGCATATAAACTCAGATAACTGTCTCAGTTTAGTTCCAGATCCCAAAATGGAAGGAGAGAGCAACCCCCAAAAGTTGTTCTTTGACCTCTACATATTCACCGTGGCATCAGGGCCCCTGTGCCTACACATATACACACCAGACATGGGTGCACATGTGGACAATAACATGTTTTTTCTCAATAAAATTTTATTAAAAACAAAACTACCAACCCACTAGGTGTGGTGGCACATACATGCTTTTAATGTCAGTACTTGGGAGGCAGAGACAAGTGGATCTCTGTGAGTTGGGGGCCAGCCTGGTCTACACAGAAAGATGCTGTCTCAAGAAAAGAAATCAAACAAGAGCAAAGCCACCAGCCCTACCCTCTGGTATCTGCACATCCCCCCATGCTGCATTCTAGAGTTCTGTAGAGCAAAACGTGGAAGCCATTGGCTGAGATGTCTCGGGTTCAGAGTACCATGATTCTGTGCTTCCTAGGATACGCTCAACCCAAATAACTGTTAAGAACTGAGGAGAAGCGAGTACTGTTCCCTATGCCTGTGTCAGTCATGGGCAGATGGGACGGGAAGTGGAGACCAGCAGGGACTAAGTTACTCACCAGGGTCAGGAGGCCAGGCCTCAGGGACAGAAGTGGTAGGGACAGGAAGATGGCTGAGCAGATGAGGGCCCTATGTCCTGAGCTCCACTCCTGGGATTCACACAGCAGACTGCATGAAGTGACTCCCTCGCGTGTTCCTCAGCTCTCCACACGCGTGAGCTTGCCACATGCACAAGTAAATAAATAAAATTTAAAACAAAAATCTAAAGTCAGAATTGTGTCAGGACAGAAAATTCCTGTGCCAGCTGCTTGGCTGATGGTTGAGGCTGTGAGAATCTGAGGCCTTTTCTACCAGCCTTTTCAAAAGAGAGAGATTTGTACCTTTCAGACCCAGGAGACGTGTGTCAGCAGTGTTTGGGATTGAACCTCGTGCCACAGGTCCTTTTTTAGTTCTGGGTGATTGTGTTTGTTTGTTTGTTTCTTGAGACAGGGTTTCTCTGTGTAGCTTTGGAGCCTGTCCTGAAACTCACTCTGTAGACCAGGCTGGCCTTGAACTCACAGAGATCCGCTTGCCTCTGCCTCTCAAGTGCTGGGATTAAAGGCCTAAACCACCACTGCCCTGCTTGGGTGATTTTTTTTTTAAATGAACTCTTTCTTTTTTTATATATTTATTTTTTATGTATACAATATTCTGTCTGTGTATGCCTACAGGCCAGAAGAGGACACCAGACGTTATTACAGATGGTTATGAGCCACCATGTGGTTGCTGGGAATTGAACTCAGGACCTTTGGAAGAGCAGGCAATGCTCTTAACCACTGAGCCATCTCTCCAGCCCTTGGGTGATTTTTTTAAAAACTATGTTTTTGCTTTACTTAATTTGTCCGCAGGGTACATGTGTGTGCGTGCGATGACATGCTTGTGGACATCAGTGAACAACTTGTGGGAGTGAATTCTCTCATCCTGCTATGCTGACCCCAGGTCTTGTGCTCATTTCATCAAACCTAAGTCATAAACCCCTTTGCCCACTGAGCCATCTCTCCAGCCCCTTGGTGATTTGTTGTTAATGAACTTTTTTTCCCATCAAGATACAAAATTAACATGGGAAAGAACTAGAAATACCAAGTGTAGAGGCGCAGAATCCAGGCAGAGGCAGATGTGAGACTCTGCAGGCAAGAAGGCAGGGCTGGCAGCATCAGCCCTTCAGCTGCTGTTGCCTGCATCTAGGACGCAGCTTCTGGTGCCCAGTGGTTCTAGGACTGCATGTGTGTCATGACAACCTGCCATTTGCCTGCCTCAGCCCTTCTGATGTGCGTGTGATTCCTCAGCGACACAGAGTTCTGGCTGCTCCTAGCTCCCCTGTCCCACTTCCCCTCCTCCCCTCCCCAAACAATCCGGCACAGTAATGTCTAAGAATGAAAACTTGCCAAAAAGCATTTGTGACCCAAATTTCTGCCCTAAGAAGAAAGAGCAGCCTGCCTAGCTGGAAGCGAACGGTTGAGCCCATCCGGGAAAGAACAGAAACCGCTGGTTGGCTCCATTTCTCCTGTGGCCAGCGTCCAGGCTCCGGGGCTGTGTGGGAAGGACTTTCACCCTTCACAGTCCTTTGTATGGCAGGGAGTGGGAACAGACATCTCTCTCTTCCTCCTAGGGTAGGCCCACACGCCTTCATCCTTCAGATATGCACACAGCACCCACACAGATGTGAGAACTCGAGAAACACACCTGGGGCCTCAGATGTTCCACAGTAGAGTAGTGTGTGAGGCCCAGAATGGTACCGACACGTGTGTGCTTGGGCGCTCCTTGGGGTCCACACAAGGCCCTTCCTCCCCGTGCATCCAGTTTCACAGGCCTACAACTCATCTGGTTCCCCTGCATTAGGCCCCAGAGTGTTAGGTAGTGCATCTGACAGCTATTCCTTCTGTGAGGACCCCTGGGATGTCAGACCTAATCGTGTCTGTCTTGACTTAGCAGATCCACCCTTCCATCAGACTCCGCACTCCCCCAGATCCACTCACTTGTGCGTTCTGCAGATATTTACCGAGGGACTCTTTATTTGCTGCAGACTGTGCTAGGCACTGGGGAACTGGAGGAAAACAAAAGGAGTCCTTGCTCTTCTGTTGCTAACAATCTGGCAAGGGAAACAGACAGTAAACAAATGCTCGGTACACCCATGGGCCAGGAAGTCCATGAAAGAACAGTGCAGAGGAAGGGAGCAAAGAGTGACTGGCTAAAGTCTTTTTATTTGGGGCGATCATGGAAAGGCCCCAAGGAAGCAGCATTGAACGGATGATTCAAGGGAGGGATGGGCCTTGAGGAGTCTGGTA